CCCAGGGGGACAGCTTGAGGCTCTGTCTCAAAAAAAAAAAAAAAAAAAGAACAGCATTCTGTTTTACTATTTCTGATCTAAGACTTTCAAAAAAGTAATTTCATTTTTGTTAGAATATAAATATTTGTAAACACAAAAAACATACACATGTATATTATTCTATATATGTGTATATATAACTCAATGAAAAAGGGTAGTCAAAATCCTCCCATCCATCCATCCATCTAATTCTACTCAATCTTTTAAGATCAAGTATGTTTCTCTGCGGCTCTTTAATCTCACAATATCTCAAAATTAGGAAGAACTAAGTGACCATTCCAAACTTCCTACAAAGGAAGGAATGCCTCCTATAAAGTTAATGCCCTCTCTTTGAATACTCAGTGACAAACTAAACATCTCATTAGCAGGTAGCTCTAATTCTCTCCTCCATTTGTGTTCATCTTCTGAACCCCCTTATCACTACTACAACCTCCACTTTACTCTGCTATAGATGACACACTGTTATTTACTTGACAGTCATTTGATTGTATACTTCTAGAGAACAAGGACTGTCATTTTTATTTTGCTACAGTTTTGTCTAGGAATCTTCCCACTTTGCCTTTAATCTCAGTTTAAAGCCCTCTTGACTGAGTCATTAAGGAGAATGAAATTGGTAATCTAACCCATTGAAAACAACTCAGCAATATACTAAGAATGAGAGTAGGTAGACAGCTTTATTTCTAAATATACTAAAGATACTAGAGCAGTGGTTCTCAACCTTCCTAATGCCGGGGCCCTAAAGTTTCACACACTTTGTAGTGTGAAAAAGTACATGCTTACTGAACATTTGGCACTTCCAGGAAGCAGCAGCCCTAAACTTGACCTTTTTATTCAAGCTGTGACTTTCCTTTTTTGTTTTTTTTGAGACAGAGTCTCACTTTGTTGGGTAGAATGCCATGGCATCATAGCTCACAGCAAACTCCAACACTTGGACTCACACAATTCTCGTCTCAGCCTCCCAAGTAGCTGGGACTACCAGCAACTGCCAACACACACTCAGCTATTTTTAGAGATGAGGTCTTGCTCCAGCTCTTACTGTGAGCTTAGGCAATCCACTCACCTCAGCCTCCCAGTGCTAGAATTATAGGTGTAAGCCACCACATTCGGCTCAAGCTGTGACTTTTCTGAACTTGTTTTTTAAACAAAAACAAGTTCACAAGTTTTGTTTTTTAAACAAAAGATGTTCAATAACTGATAAACGCAAACAATATATACCTACTGTGTTTCAGGTAATATGTCAAGGAGAGCCAGATAAATAATGAACTAAACAGACACAAATCCTATCTTCATGAGTTTAAATCTAGAAGGGTGACAAGTGACAAATCAATGCATAATCCCCAACTGTGACATAAGCCTCAAAGTAAACAAAAATAATAAAAAATAACAGCAGAAAGGATATCATTCCTGATAAACTGTCAGGAAACATATATCAGAGGAGGTTATAATAAAGTCAAAATCTGAATGAACTTAGGAAGAACCAAAGGACCAACATTTTAGGGGAGGAGACTAGCGCAGCAAAAAGGGTCCTAAATTGGAAGAGTGTGGTATGTTGCAGGAAACGAAAGGCCATTTTTCATTTCCTCATTTGATTGTATACTGGAGTAAGCGTGTCATGAGATGAAAATGAACTCCATTTATTTAATCCAGACTGTCTAGGTTCTACTCCCAACATTCAACTGAAATGCTACAGTTCCTAATAACCTCCAAATTGACAAATCCAATGTCCCCTTTTAGAACTCAATCAAGTAGATCCCTTTGCAGTATCTGACAATACTTACTTACAACCCAACTTCATAGAAATAACTGCCTTTCACATGCCATTCTTTTTTAGTAGTTACCACTATGGGTTCTGCTGCAAGTTTGGGGGATTTAAAGAATTTTTTCAAGTGTGGGCTCTGTAGGTGGAATGCATTCTTTCATATCCTGGTCCACCCACTAAGGAGCTGTATAACCTAGAGCAAATTAGTTCATCCCTCCAAACCTCAAAGAGTTGTTGTAAGGCTTCATACCCATTAAAGACAGTACCTGAAACACAGCAAATGTGCAATAAATTTTAGCAATTAACAGATGCCTTGCCTTTATAACTACTAAATACGTCTGTTTCTGGTGGCGCCTGTAGCTCAGGCCGCTAAGGCCCAGTCACATACACCAGAGGTGGTGGGTGGAACCCGGCCTGGACCGGCCAAACAACAATGACAACTACAACACCAAAATAACCGGAGGTTGTGGCAAGCACCTGTAGTTCCAGCTACTTGAGAGGCTGAGGCAAGAAAATCACTTAAGTCCAAGAGTTTGAGGTTGTTGTGAGCTGTGACACCACAGAACTCTAATGTGGGTGACATAGTGAGATTCTGTCTCAAAAAATAAATAAATAAATAAAATAAGAAGTCTCTTTTGATGGTTCTGCCACCCTTTAAGAACATCCTTGTCTCTTCAGCCTCAGCCATTCCTATGACTTCAACAAATTCAAAATGCCCAATATGTTGGAAGAACTCCCAAATATATTTCATTAGATGTCAGACCTCACTCTTGAGCTTCAGGAAGCTTCTACACGTTGTACCTCTACATGCATTTTTCCTTCTGTCTGGAAGGCTTCTACCAATCCTCCAGGGCAATTTAGACACTGTGGGACCATACCACAAACTGAATTGATACTCCAAGGCTGAGATTTTAGAGAACCTTCATCAATCACTCCTCTACCAACACAGAACTCTCCTAATCATGTCATAACCTGGAATTGTAGTTGTCTTTCTACTTACCTGTACCAGCTAAGGCTTCTGAGTGTTCCCCAGAAGTAAAGATTATCTCACTTCACAAGGAAGATACAGCACAGCGAGGCCATCCAGCTGACCAACATAATCCAACTCTGTGACTCCAGAGCCCGTTCTCTTAACCATGAGGCTGTAGTTTAAAACTCAATGAATGTTCGCTGACGGTAAGTACTAATTAAGAGAGAATAATCAAAAGATGACTAGTCAAGTCTCGTAGATAAATGTGAACCCTAAGGCGACAGGAGAAAGTGACGCGAGGGAGGGAGGGTTCAATTCAGACTTTAAAGGATAGAGGTTATTGGCTAAACCCCCTACAGACTTCTAGAATGGAAAGGAAAGGGGAAAGAGGACGGGCCGGGAAAAACAAGCGAAGACAGCAGTCAAGGGCCGCTCCAGAGGAATGTGTGGGCATCTGGGGACGAGGACAGACCGGGTCGCACACGACTGATCCGTCCACAGCGTTGTTTCCACGCCCCTACCGCTGCACTCGGACGCCAAAGTGGGGTTTGTGCGGCGGCGGCGGCCCAAAACTCAGTTCCTCTCGCCTCTTCCGGCGGCCACAGTCCCTGAGCCCAGTCAGCCACGCAACTCTTCTCGCCTCTGGTTCAAACGCTGCGCGACGGCCCGCCGTCAGCCTAGGGAGGAAGTGAAGCCGAGACGCGGCGGAGCACCGTCTGCCCATGCGCGCCCGACATCACGCGCTCTGCTCGACTCAAAACACCAGCGGGCCCAAAACACTCGGCTCGTCTGAAGAAGCGCGCCTGCGCCCTGCCCACCAATGGGGAGCGACCTTGCTGTTGCTGCGGGCCCTGGGGCAGCGGTGCCAGCCCCGGTTCCTCGCCCTCCTCGCCCCACCCCTCCGTCGCTGAGGACGGAAATGACGACACATCCTAGGACAGCGGAGGCGGGTTTCATTTCGGCGCCTTTCTTTCTCCGGCGGAAGCAATTGGCCGACGTGGAGAGAAAGAGGCGGGACAAATTGTCGCGGGTTCAGTGCCGCCACTGGAACCGGGAGATGCGGCTCAGGAGCTGTCGCTGTGTTTGCATTTACCTGAGTCTCGTTTCTTATTGTGGCTCCTTCTGCGGTTTCGATCATGTTGTTACCCTCGGACGTAGCCCGGCTGGTATTGGGTAAGTGTGGACGCGGGGGGCGATTTACTGGATTGGAGTAAACAGGAGGTAAGGACCTTTGGAGCCGGAGGTTTTCCATGGGTGGGGAAGCTTTGGGGGTTTGCCTCCCCGGCTTACAAGTTGAGACTGTGGAGGTGCTTCGTCTCTGGGCAGTTTAAGCCTTTCCGCATATGGATACTCCCCTCCTCAGAGGCTGCGTGGCGAGGGAAGGGCAAAGAGAAGCTCGATGTGGAACACCTGGGCCCCGGATTCAGCGGGAAGGTCAGACCCGCATACTTCACGGGGACCCCCGAAAGAGAGTTGTCTACGTGACGGGCGAACTGTGTGTTCTTCAACTTCGTCGGCACTTTGTCTTGTCGGTGTTGGGACATAAAAAAAAAAGATTAATTAGGACTTCCTCAGCCGCCCAGCTTTGCAGAAAGACCTTTCTGACGCCCTTCCCATAACCCGCCCTGAGAACTACGAATTTAGGACTGGTGGGGGTGATGTTCCTTCTCCATCCTTTTCGCAATACTCCAGCGTAGAGGTCTGAAATGCCCGTTGAATGTTTTAAAACAGCAGCAATTTCGGTTCGCCTGATTAGCAAAAGACATTCAGAGGAGAAATGTCTTTCATCGAACGCTTTCTGGCCCTAGTTTTTCCTTGTTTGAAGAGGGTTCGTGGGCCACTTGTCTGTCAGGGTGGATTGTCTGCGTGGGAGACAGGTTGTGGTGTTTGTCCCTGGGAGGAATAAAGAGGATTGTACCACTAGGAACAAGAGCGACGTAAAGCTCTAAACCCGAGACGGTGACTTCGACGTCTGTGCACCATTCCTAAAAGTTAAGTGGTTAACATGTCATGTAACCTCCAATAGTATCCACATCCATTACTACCATTATTTTATTGCTCAGAAAACCCATTTGTCTTGTGCGTTTTTTAAATGCCCAGCGCTACAATAGTGTTTACGTAGGATTCTTGAGAAACACTTTTACAGGAAACAGTAGAGGAAAATAGTTCCACCATCCATTTATGAAGAAATAAATGACTTAAGCTTAAACTAATATTTGGTTAATCTTTTGCCCCATTTTATCAAAGTTGAATTATCAGCAGTTGACCTACATCTGTGTCTTGTAATTGTTACATGTATTAGGTGTATATGTATACCAATCAAAAGTAGACTCAATATATATGACATACTTTACTTTTTTCCTCTGTGCATATTTGCTTGAGAATTTTGAGTTTGGGCTGTTTAGTAATCCAGTTGAGTTGTAGTGACTATAGTCACAAGGTTTCTCAATGTTGGTATTATTGACATTTTAGGCTGCATAATTCTTCTTAGTGAGGAGTTAAGTGTCCATATATTGTGGGACGTTTAGCAGCATCCCTGGCCTCTATCCAGTAGATGCCAGTAGGACACACCACTACTTACTTACCTGCTCCCCAGTGTGATGGGGGGAAAAAATGTCCCTAGGTACTGCCAGTATTTTCGTTGGAGGGCAAAATCACCCCTGCTTAAGAAAGCAGTGTGATGTTCTAATTGGGATAATCCACACCAGCTTGTAAGTATTCTTTCTCCACAAACCAGCTGCTCTGCTTGACTTCTGTAGGATGGAAAAACTCACTAGATGCTCTCAGTGGATGAAGAAATAATTCTCACACAGTGTTTAGGATATAAAGAAGTAAGAGTTGGGGCCGTGACACACTAATGAAGGCGTAAAGGTACGGGCAGTTGATGAAAAGCAACTGGTGTTTTTAAGGGCAAAAATGGCTTTTCTTCCCTGCTTCAGCAGACTAATAGAAGCAACAATAAAGTTGTTGCAAGTGCTCTTTCCAACTCATCTGAGTCCTGGGAATCTGGTTTTTGGCAGCAGCTGAGGCAGAGAGTTGGAGTGAAAAGCTCGCACGTCTTCTGTGCACTTAGGGCTCTTCAAACCTGAGAAACAACTCATAGAGATAACAAGTTAAGCCACAGGTGTTTTAATTAAAACATGCAGCTGTGTTGTGAGTTTTGTCTTCAAAGGGGCAGTTATACGTTTTGAGTTTTATTTCCTTTACTTTCTGTTAAGATAGTTTATTTTCCTCTGTCAGACAGGTTATTAGTAAAGCCACCTTTCAGCTTCCTAGTTTTCTTTTAATGGACAAAAACTCCAGAGTCGTCGTTTTCTTATTCTAAAAATCTTCATGGTCACTCGCATTCCATTTTCTCTGCCACCAATCCTGGCCACATGCCTCCCATTACTTTTTGGCTTTTGTCAATGGCTTCCCATATAGTCTTTGTAGTTCATCTTATTTACTGTTACAAATCTTTTTTTTTTTCTTTTGAGACATAGTCTCACTGTATTACCCTCTGTAGACTGCCATGGCCTCACAACTCACAGCACCCTCAAACTCTAGGGCTCAAGCAATTGTCTTGCCTCAGCCTCCCAAGTTGCTGGGACTACAGGTGCCCCCCCCAACACCCAGCTGTTTTTTGGTTGCAGTTGTCATTGTTGTTTAGCAGGTCCAGGCCGGGCTCGAGCCTGCCCAGCTCACTATGTGGCTTGTACCCTGTGCACTTATTAAATTCCAAAGTGTATGATGCAACGATGTACAATACAAAAAAACCCTCCCCATATTACCTGCTCTTTTGTTGATCATTAGTTTATATGTATACACATACATAAATATATTACCTCTAACTCTCTTATCAACAGTTTTGTTATTTGCGCTTGACTCTTCTAGTAACCTCTCCCCATCTTCAGCCTCTCTCTAATTGGTCTCTTTTCTTCATCATGTATTTTCAGCAGACCTTTGACTAAAATGTTCCAAACATTGTGCCAATTGCTAAGCATAAAGAAAGAAATATTGGCTTGACGTCTGTGGCTCAAATGGCTAAGGTCCCAGTCATGTACACCTGAACTGGCAGGTTTGAATCCAGCCCAGGCCTGCCAGAAACAATGATGGCTGCAACCAAAAAATAGCCAGACATTGTGGCAGGCGCTTGTAGTCCAACCTACTTAGGAGGCTGAGGCAGGAGAATCGCTTGCACCCAGGAGTTGGAGGTTGCTGTGAGCTATGATGCCACAGCACTCTACTACCCAGGACGACAATTTGAGGCTCTGTCTCCAGGAAAAAGAAAAAGAGAGAGAAATATTGTCCCTTTAATGTTCACATAATTATTTTTTTTTCCTTTTTTTGTAGAGACAGAGTCTCATTTTATTGCCCTCGGTAGCGTGCCATGGCATCGTACAGCTCAAAGCAACCTCCAACTCCTGGTCTTAGGCAATTCTCTTGCCTCAGCGTCCCGAGTAGCTGGGACTATAGGTACCTGCCACAATGCCTGGCTATTATTTTGCTGCAGTTTGGCTGGGGCCGGGTTTGGACCTGCTGCCCTTGGTATATGGGGCTGGCCCTCTACTCACTGAGCAACAGATGCCACCCAATGTTGACATAATTTTTTTACACTGAAACACACCCAAAACGCTTTGCTGGACCCTCACCTCACATTCTAATGCTCTGTGTCACTCTTTCACAAGGGTTAAGAGAACAATGGACTCCACTTAGTTGCTTTTCTCTTTTTTTTTTTTTTTTGAGACAGAGCCTCAAGCTGTCCCCCTGGGTAGAGTGTCGT